AACCTGGTAGTAGAGACAGGAAAGGCGAGCACAGACTGGTGGTATTCTCGGAAATTAAAACCTAAGCAGGCTGGGCACTGTGGCTCACGCCTATAGTCCCAGCACTCCGGGAGACCGAGGCAGGAGGATTGCTTGGGCTCAGGAATTCGAGACCAGCCTAAGCAAGAGTGAGACCCCCGTCTCTACTATAAATACAAGGAAATTAGCCAAATAACTAAAAATAGAAAAAATTATCCGGGCATGGTGGCGCATGTATGTAGTCCCAGCTACTTGGGGAGGCTGAGGCAGGAGGATTGCTTGAGCTGTCAGGAGGAGTTTGAGGTTGCTGTGAGCTAGGATGATGCCATGACACTCTAGCCCAGGCAACACAGTGAGACTCTGTCTCAAAAAAAAAAAAAGCCTAAGCAGACAGACAGACACACACATACACGCAGACACACAAAGACAGACGCAGACACACAGAGCCTCCCAACCCTGACGTCAGACACACAAGTACACACCCCCCTTGACACAAAGCTCCCTCCATAGATGCCACCAAACTCAGGGGTGGGCTGGCAGGTCGTGGCTCTGGGCAGCCCGTGACCCCGCCTCTCGCCTGTGTCCCCTCAGCTATACCTGGGCATCGTGCTGGCGGCCGTGGTGATCATCACTGGCTGCTTCTCCTACTACCAGGAGGCCAAGAGCTCCAAGATCATGGAGTCCTTCAAAAACATGGTGCCCCAGGTGAGGGGTGCCCTGGAAGGGGCCAGATAGGGGTGGGCAGGTGGGTGGAGGCCAAGTGATGCCCAGGCAGAGGAAGGCTTGGAGATGACTCTTCTCCATCCCACCTCCAGCAAGCCCTGGTGATCCGGGAAGGTGAGAAGATGCAGGTGAACGCTGAGGAGGTTGTAGTTGGGGACCTGGTGGAGATCAAGGGTGGAGACCGAGTCCCAGCTGACCTGCGTATCATCTCGGCCCACGGCTGCAAGGTGGGTCTGGGCGTCCAGTGCCTCCTCCCTCAGACCCAGGGGTCCAGACCCAGCCCCTCCCACCTCAGACCCAGGAGTCCAGACCCAGCCCCTCCTCCCCTAGACCCAGGGGTGCAGCCCCAGCCCCTCCTCCCTCAGACCCAGGGGTGCAGCCCCAGCCCCTCCTCCCTCAGACCCAGGGGTCTGGCCCCAGCCCCTCCTCCCTCAGACCCAGGGGTGCAGCCCCAGGCCCTCCTCCCCCAGACCCAGGGGTGCAGCCCCAGCCCCTCCTCCCTTAGACCCAGGGGTGCAGCCCCAGGCCCTCCTCCCCCAGACCCAGGGGTCCAGCCCCAGCCCCTCCTCCCTCAGACCCAGGGGTCCAGCCCCAGCCCCTCCTCCCTCAGACCCAGGGGTCCAGCCCCAGCCCCTCCTCCGTCAGACCCAGGGGTCCAGCCCCAGCCCCTCCCCCCTCAGACTCAGGGGTCCAGCCCTCCTCCCTCAGACCCAGGGGTGCAGCCCCAGCCCCTCCTCCCTCAGACCCAGGGGTGCAGCCCCAGCCCCTCCTCCCTCAGACCCAGGGGTGCAGCCCCTGCCCCTCCTCCCTCAGACCTAGGGGTGCAGCCCCAGCCCCTCCTCCCTCAGACCCAGGGGTCCAGCCCCAGCCCCTCCCCCCTCAGACCCAGGGGTCCAGCCTCAGCCCCCACCCCTCTGAGACCCTTGGGTACCTTAAACCTTGCTGAGCAGCCTGTATCTGCCCAACCTCCAAGATTCCAGCCTCTGGCCTCCCAGCACGACTCACTCCCCTGGCCATGGTGGCTTCTAGCTGTGACCTCCAGGGACACAGGGTTCAGCCCCACTGCCCTCTGGACAGATGCCCTCTGGTCCTTGGCCCTGGCTGAGTTTTGTCTCTGCTGTACCCACCCGCAGGTGGACAACTCCTCCCTGACCGGCGAATCCGAGCCGCAGACCCGCTCTCCCGACTGCACCCACGACAACCCCCTGGAGACTCGGAACATCACTTTCTTTTCCACGAACTGCGTGGAAGGTGAGGCAGGGCGTGGAGGGGACACTCGGGGGGCAGACGGAGGGCCGTGCCTCGGGGTCAGGCCCCTGGGAGCCTCCCCGAGCCCACCCCACCTCCATCCAACCCTCTGGCCCACAGGCACGGCTCGGGGTGTGGTGGTGGCCACAGGTGACCGCACTGTCATGGGCCGCATCGCCACGCTGGCGTCGGGGCTGGAGGTGGGCAAGACGCCCATCGCCATCGAGATCGAGCACTTCATCCAGCTCATCACCGGCGTGGCCGTCTTTCTGGGCGTCTCCTTCTTCATCCTGTCCCTCATTCTCGGATACACCTGGCTCGAGGCTGTCATCTTCCTCATTGGCATCATCGTGGCCAACGTCCCAGAGGGCCTCCTAGCGACTGTCACCGTAAGGCCCAGCCCCTGGGCTTGAGGGAGGCAGGGCTGGGGGCCCGCATCACAATGTCCTCGACGAGGACATCTGTACCCAGAGGACTGAGCTTCCTAGATCCTGAGTAAGGGGGACTCGCACTCAGAGGGCCTCATTAACTAAGCAAACAAACAGAAATCTTGAGAAAGATTTCTGTAAGACATAAAGAGCTAATAATCCCATCACTTTTTAAGTTAACTTACAAAATTGAGACACACACATATATGGTGGGCACATTGGCTCAGGCCTGTAATCCCAGGTCGGGAGTTCAAGATCAGCCTGGACAACATAGCGAGACCCCATCTCTACACAAAATTTAAAAATTAGCTGAGCTGGTGGCACACGTGCCTGGAGTCTCAGCCACTTGGGAGGGGGAGGGGGGAGGACCTCTTGAACTTAGGAGGTGGCGGTTACACGAGGTCATAGTGAGCTGCGATCAGGCCACTGCACTCCAGCCTTGGTGACAAAGTGAGACCATGTCTCTTAAAAAAAAAAGAAAAAACAGAAACAAAAAAAGAAGTACACACTCATGGTCAAAAGTCTGAAGAATATATGCAAGTTGAAAAATAAAATAATGGTTCCCCTCCTGGTGCCCAGCTACCACCCGTACCCCAGAAGTACATTCTCCACGCTGTGCCCCGAGAGCAGCGGGCATATGGATGACGTTGTTTTCAAGACACCTAGAAGGAACCGTCCTAGAGAGACCCTTGTGCTCCTTGCTGCTTTGGCTTAATATAGTGCAGTTTGCCACGATCAAAGCCAGCCTGTGCCAAGAGGCTTTCCACACGCGGATGACACGCACACACAATAGCCTGGAGATTCTGGGCAAACTGAACTCGCTCCTGTCAACTGCGCCCAGACTATGTCCCCTTGAAGCCCCTCAAGCCCTTGTTCAGCCCCTACCCCCTACCCAAGGGTAACCCCTGACTTGGCTTCTAACAGCCTAGATTAGCTTTGCCCGATTCCCAAACCTCATATTCGTGGAATAATTCGGTAGGAACTCTCATTTCCAGCTCTTTTTTGCTAAACATGTTGCTGAGGTTCATCCACGCAGGCAGCAGTGATGTATTCTTTGTCGGCGATGTATAGTATTCCATCTTTTATTCCACAATTTATCCCGCCTGCTGTCAGTGGACATCTGGGCTGTTTTCAGTTTTGGACGATGATAAATGCTGCCGTAGGAACATTCTGGTGCATGTCTTAGGGGCCACCTCTGACCCTGTTTCTTTGGTGTGTATCTGCGGGTGGCATTGCTGGGTGCTCCCCCATTCTTCCCAGCACCCCAGGATTCTCTCTGGGCTGTGGCCACTCAGCCACCCCTACCGCCAGGCTGCTGCCTGGTGACCTGCCCGCCCTGTCCTTTAGGTGTGTCTGACACTGACCGCCAAGCGCATGGCTCGGAAGAACTGCCTGGTGAAGAACCTGGAAGCTGTGGAGACCCTGGGCTCCACGTCCACCATCTGCTCGGACAAGACGGGGACCCTCACCCAGAACCGCATGACGGTGGCCCACATGTGGTTCGACAACCAGATCCATGAGGCCGACACCACTGAGGACCAGTCAGGTGAGCGGGGCCCAGGGTGGACGCGGGGGGGGGGGGCGCGGCCCCAGGGAGCCCCCAACCCTCACACGTGCCTCCCTCAGGGACCTCGTTCGACAAGAGCTCGCACACCTGGGTGGCCCTGTCCCACATCGCCGGGCTCTGCAATCGCGCTGTCTTCAAGGGTGGTCAGGACAACATCCCTGTGCTCAAGGTGGGTCCGGCTGCCGGCCTCCCCTGCCTGTGCCCGCCCCTCTGCCGCACCTGCCCTGATGGCCCCTGTCCCCGCAGAGGGATGTGGCCGGGGACGCCTCCGAGTCCGCCCTGCTCAAGTGCATCGAGCTGTCCTCGGGCTCCGTGAAGCTGATGCGCGAACGCAACAAGAAAGTGGCCGAGATTCCCTTTAACTCCACTAACAAATACCAGGTACGCTGGGCTTCCGGGAGAGCTGGGCTGGGCCTCAGTTTCCCTAGGACGCCTGTAAAACAATCACCTCTGCCCCACTGCCCTCCTGCTTTGGGCAAGTTACTAATCTCAGAGCCTCAGTTTCCCCATCTGTAGAACGGGAATAATGATATCCATCAAGGGTGGGGAAAGCGACAGGGAGAACGCAAGAGCGAGAGCGAGAGGCAGAGGAGCAAAGATATTCCTGCGGCACAGGGTGGGAACCAGCCAGAGAGCTTGGGGGCAGCCACTTTCATTCATTCAGCAGAGTTGGTTTTGAGTAGCCGCCGCATGTCCTGGGAGACACACAGCAGTGAGCGAAAGAGCGAGTCCCTCCTCTCTGGAGCTCATACTCTGGTTCCAGAAGACAGATAAAGACAGAGGCAGGAGGAGATCTGCATAGTTGGTCCTGACGCAGGAGCCGTTGACTTGTCTGAACAACGGCCAGACGGCCAGCGCAGGCAGCAGGGAGCCAGGGAGTGTGGCAGGCAGATGCTGGGCCGGATCCCAGAGCCCGCTGGGCTCCCTGGGCCACAGAGAGGACTTGGCAGCCACTCCAAAGGGGACACAAGCACCGAGAGGGCTCCAGGCAGAGGACAGACAGGAGTTAACACACATGTTTTCAAATAGTTTTATTAAGATATAATTCTCACACCATAGACCGTCCGTTTAAAGCGTGTAACTCTGTAGTCTTCGTGTACTCAGACGCAGGCAACCATCCACACAGTTTCAGAGCATTTTTGTCACCTCGAAAAAGAAACCACACACCCTTAGCTGTCACCCGCCCCCTCTTCCTCCCGTACTCCCAGCCCGGAGCAACCACTAACCTACTTTCTGTCTCTGCGGATTCTCCTGTTCTGGACACTTCGTAAAAATGGAATCATACGACATGTGGCCTTTTGTGACTGGCTCGGTTCACTGAGCGTAATGTCGCCAAGGCCCGTCCCTGCCGTAGCGAGTATCAGTTTCGTCCCTTTTTTTTTTTTTTTTTTTTTGGCCGAATAATACTCCGCGGTGTGGCTCTGCACACGTGGTTTTCCAAACTGGCTGCCCCCTTTCCACGGACTCACACTTTTTAAAGGCTCCTTCCGGCTGCTGTGGGGTGGGGGACGTCAGCGTGTGAGGGATGGCAGGGCTGGACGGGGGCGAGGGGCAGGGAGGGGAGAAGAGGCCAGATTCTGGGTGTATTTCAGAGGTTGATGATGGGTCAGAGAGCACAGGGCGCGGCCAAGAGAGAGAGGCACGTGACCGAGGGACAGCTGAGTTTTGCGGAGGACACAGAGGGACAGAAATGTCTGTGAGAGGGACGGAAAGGGGTAGGGACGAGCAGAGATCTCTGTGAGGGAGTCTGAGAAACAGGTGGAGATCGCTCTTGGGCAGAGAGACGTGGGCAGCGCCGTGCCCCAGCCAGGCACACGCAGGTGACCTCCGGGGCTCTGTCCGCAGCTCTCCATCCACGAGACCGAGGACCCCAACGACAACCGGTACCTGCTGGTGATGAAGGGCGCCCCCGAGCGCATCCTGGACCGCTGCTCCACCATCCTGCTGCAGGGCAAGGAGCAGCCGCTGGACGAGGAGATGAAGGAGGCCTTCCAGAACGCGTACCTCGAGCTGGGCGGCCTGGGCGAGCGCGTGCTTGGTACGCACGGCGGGCGGGGGGGGGCCGCGGAGGGCCAGGAGGGGTGCCCAGAGCCGGGCTCAGAGCGCACTGCGAATGAACGAATGAATGAACGAACGAACGAGACGGGAGGCATCTCCAGGACGTGAATGTTGACCCACCGTCTGGAGACGCTTGTCCAGGAGCCCCACGCCCGCCCTGTCCCCGCTGCAGGATTCTGCCACTATTACCTGCCGGAGGAGCAGTTCCCCAAGGGCTTCGCCTTCGACTGCGACGACGTGAACTTCACCACGGACAACCTCTGCTTCGTGGGCCTCATGTCCATGATCGACCCGCCGCGGGCGGCCGTCCCTGACGCCGTGGGCAAGTGCCGCAGCGCAGGCATCAAGGTGTGGCCGGGCGGCCGGGGAGGCGGGGCCAGGGCCTGGGGGTGGGGACGACGCAGGGTCCCTAAAGAACAACGCCCACAGGTCATCATGGTCACGGGCGATCACCCCATCACAGCCAAGGCCATCGCCAAGGGCGTGGGCATCATCTCTGAGGGCAACGAGACCGTGGAGGACATCGCCGCCCGGCTCAACATCCCCGTCAGCCAGGTCAACCCCCGGTGAGCCGCCGCCCCGCCCGGGCCCTGGATCCATGGAGCCATCACGGGGCTCACACGGGGGTCCGCCTCTGTCCAGCCTCCCCGGGCACTGCCCATCCCCGTCCTTCCTGGGGCCCCTCTGTGCGCTCCGGCCCGGGGTCCCAGTCCTCCCCCCTGCCCTGGGTGGGCAGCCTGTGTCGCAGCCACAGGGCTCAGCCAGGTATGGGTTTGCATCCCAGCTTTGCCACGCACACGCTGTGTCACCTTGGGCCAGTCATTTAGTATCCCTGAGCCTCAGTTTCCCTATCTCTAAAATGGGCTGCTATTAATAATAATTCCTATCTGAAAGGATTCAGTGAAATCCCGTATTTCTCTGCATCTCTCTCTCTTTTCCTGTCCGTCTTTGTCTCTCCCTTTCTCTGTTTGCTGTTCTGACGTCCTCACCGTTCCCGTCCGCGTGCTTGCCTCTGCGTGTCTCCCTTCCTGTTTGTCTATATGTCTCTGTTCCTGCAAACCCACTGTCCCACGGGCTTCCTGAGGTCCGTCCTCCCTCCCTGCTGCTGCAGCACCCTCTCCCGGGCCTGGGCCTCTGGCTCCCCCGTCTGTCTCTGTCCCTCCGGCTTCGCTGCTCCACTGCTCACACCCCCTGACCTCAGCCACCGCCCTCTCTGCTCTTCCCAGGGACGCCAAGGCCTGCGTGATCCACGGCACCGACCTCAAGGACTTCACCTCGGAGCAGATCGACGAGATCCTGCAGAACCACACTGAGATCGTCTTTGCCCGCACGTCCCCGCAGCAGAAGCTCATCATTGTGGAGGGCTGCCAGCGGCAGGTGGGCTGGGCCGGCCCCGCAGAGGAGGGGCCCAGACTCTCCACTCCTGGGTCCTACTGAGGAGCAAGGGGGGCCCCTGGCTCTGAGGGAGGGGGGCTGGGGCTTGGCCTCTGGGTGCCATCCTCACCCTCTGTCCCTCCAGGGTGCAATCGTGGCCGTGACCGGGGACGGTGTGAACGACTCCCCCGCTCTGAAGAAGGCTGACATCGGCGTGGCCATGGGCATCGCCGGCTCCGACGTCTCCAAGCAGGCAGCGGACATGATTCTGCTAGATGACAACTTTGCCTCCATCGTCACGGGTGTGGAGGAGGGTGAGTTGGCCAGGGGTGGCCCTGGAGCCCGAGGGTCACTGCAGGAGCCCCGAGCGAGGTGAGGGGACAGGTCAGGGTTGCGGCAGGATGGTGGGGGAGACCACAGCACCCCAGGGCCACGGCGGGGCTTGAGCCTGTCCTTTTCTGTCTTCCTCCCCCATGTGGTCAGAGCTCCCTGGGGGCAGGGCCAGGCTGACGCCTTTCTAGGTCCCCAAGCTGCGGATCCTGGGGGAGGCCTCAGGGGGCCCCTCACTCGCTTCCCAGAGTGGACAGGGAAGGCTGAGCAGAGTCAGGGGCCCGGCTGGGATTTCCACAGAGAGCAGTGCCAGGGACAGGGGACGCAGGCAGGAGACACCGCACAGGGCTGGTGCTGGGGTGCGGGCCCGGAGCTCTGCAGGACGGGCAGGGCACCCCCAGACCAGGCCGCAGAGACACTGGTCCCCATTCAATTTTATTCTGATCATCAAAGTAACTCATGATAATTACAGGCCATACAGAAAAGCATTAAGGAAAACACTGGAATCGCCCATAACCTCACCATCCATAAATAATTGCTGTTCATGCCCTGGTGCGTTTTCTTCTAATTTCTCTCTCCCACTTGAAATGTACTAGAGTAAGAAATAGTTCACGTCAAGTGGTAAAGCTGAGCCCAAAGTGACAAATTCAATGCCCTTGGCCCTTGTCTCCTGTGTCCCAGAGGAAGCCACGGTTAACACTTTCTTGCCCATGACACACCTTCTCTGCATATGCAGCGCACACGCTCCTTCCAAACCCGGCGCGTGCGAGGTGCAGGGTGCTGGGGCAGCGGCGGGCGGAGCAGAGCAGACTCGGGGTGGGAGGAGACAGCCTTAAACGCATCAACAGAGAGACACTTAATCACACACTGTGATCTGTGCAGAGGAGAAAACAGCTGGCAGGCTGGGATAGGCACTAACAGGACAGGGAGGACAAGGAAGGCCCAGACAGGGTGGACAAGGAAGGCGTCTGCAAAGTGGGGAGGAAAAAGGTTTAACTTTTTTTTTTTTTTAATTCTTTTTTTTTTTTCCGGCATATTATGGGGGTACAGATTTTAAGGTTTCAATAAATGCCCTTTCCCCCAAGGTTTAACTTCCATCGGGGGTATCGCAGGCAGATCCAAGGGCAGAGTGACGAGCCCCCGCCCTGCGCCCCAGGGGCAGCTGGGATCGGCTCCTGGCCCGCCTTGGTTCTTGCCCGCCCCCTGCCCCCCACGCGGGACATGCTGCCGCACATGGAAGCTGTCGCTTCACCCATAACTATTTTAGGATGAGAAAGATCTAGTCTGGGATAGCAGCCACCGCGGGGAGGCAGAGCACCAGGAGGGAGCACCCAGGTCTTCTTGTGACACCGTGGGCAGCCCTTTGTTCCCTCCTAGCTCGGGGGCGACCCCCAGCTGGTGGGGAAGGCGGATAGTTTGTAGTGTATAGTTTACACTATGCACACTGTACTGGCCCAGTTTTTATTGAGAGAGAACATTATAACATACAGCAGTGGGTCGGGCAGGCAGCTTGATGAATTTTTACTCGTGTGCACGCCCATGCACGCGCCAGACCCCAGTCAAGACCGAGAACGTTCCCAGCCCCCATTCGGGTTTTGTCTGGTCCCCTCCCAGCCTGTCTCCCCCTCCCAGAAGTAACCAGTACCCTGGCTTCTGCGCCAGAGATTAGAGTCGACCCTCATCTGGGTGGAAGCTCGTGGTGTGAACACGCTTGTGTCTGGCTTAACCCGGCATCTGCAGCTGGGCCGTGGAATTGGCCGTGTGTCCGTAGCCTGTCCCTTTTCCTTGCTGAGTAGTATTCCACCGTGTGCAGGTACCTCAGTTTACTCGTCCCTCACCTGCTGTGGACGTTGGCCTTGGCTCTGGGTTTTGGCTTTTATAATAGGGATCGTGTCATGGTGAACATTCCTGCACTTGCTTCTTGGCGGACACAAGCACTCATCTCTCTTGGGGACAAGCCTGGGTGGGATTGCTGTGTCGATGGTGCAGGGGAAATGTTTAATAGAAACTCCCAAACCATCCTGCAAAAGTGGCTGCATTTCAAGACTGTTCGAGCAGAGGCGACGCAGTCAGATGTCTGGGTTGGGGGGCACAGGTGTGAGCGGGATTAGGAAGGATGGTGACTAGGCAGGGGAGGGGCGGAGGGAATGGGGCTCCCTGGGTGGGCACCCGAGCTCGGAGCCCGCGCCCGCTGCAGGCCGCCTGATCTTTGACAACCTGAAGAAGTCCATCGCCTACACCCTGACCAGCAACATCCCCGAGATCACGCCCTTCCTGCTGTTCATCATGGCCAACATCCCGCTGCCCCTGGGCACCATCACCATCCTCTGCATCGACCTGGGCACCGACATGGTGAGCCCCGCAGCCACCCCGGCCCTGGGAGGGCAGGGTCCTCCCTCCCCTCCCCTCCCGGCTCACCTGGCCTCTCCCGCCCAGGTCCCCGCCATCTCCTTGGCCTACGAGGCTGCTGAGAGTGACATCATGAAGCGACAGCCCAGGAACCCGCGCACGGACAAGCTGGTCAATGAGAGGCTCATCAGCATGGCCTACGGGCAGATCGGTGAGGGGCTGGGGAGGTCGCTCCTGCCCCGGGGCCCCCTCAGACTCAAGCCTGGGTCCCCCAGGATGTCCCAGTGCTCAGGTGGCCTGGGTCACATGGGAGAGGGGCTCCAGGTTACCCATCTGTGAGAGCCCCTCCCCGAGCCCCGACCCGGGTGGCACATTCAGGGGCTCAGTGCCAGGGAGGACCCTCAGGCTGCCTCTGGGCTCCCGTCTCCAGACGGCAGGGCTTGGTGGCTGCGCCTCTCTGTGGGGGTCGCAGGGGGTCCCCCAAGTACGCTGGGTTGGCCGCCGGCTCCCGCCTGAGCCTCTCCTCGTCTCCCCTCCCTCCTCCTCCAGGAATGATCCAGGCTCTCGGTGGCTTCTTTTCCTACTTTGTCATCCTAGCGGAAAATGGCTTCTTGCCCAGCAACCTTGTGGGCATCCGGCTGAACTGGGACGACCGCACCGTCAATGACCTGGAGGACAGTTACGGGCAGCAGTGGGTGAGTGGGGCCGGGCGCCACAGCGTCACGGGGGCCTCCGAGTCAGTGTCCCCGCCCACCACAGGGGCCTGGGTGAGCTGTCCCAGCCAGCATGGCCCCTCTGCCCCGGGGGCAGCAGCGAGACCCTCGAAGGGCTCATGGACCCCCTGGTGCTCTGGGTGCTCTGCCCCACCAGGCCTCCTTCCCGCTTTTCTGTCCCTTCAAAGCCCAGCCGCCATCTGTCCTCCTGGGGGGGCCACGGGGTCATCCTCCTCCTCCCTGGCCCTGTTGACCTTCCTCCTTCCTTGCACTCTTCCCTCAGGCTGTGAGCCTGAAGAAGGGAGATACCCCTGGGGCCCTGGGCCCCTGTGCAAGTCGCGGGGTGGACAAAGAGCATCGGTGGCGGGGTGGCGGGCAGGGCTGACCGACAGCCTGTGCCCACGTCACCCGCAGACGTACGAGCAGAGGAAGGTGGTGGAGTTCACGTGCCACACGGCCTTCTTCGTGAGCATAGTGGTCGTGCAGTGGGCCGATCTGATCATCTGCAAGACCCGGAGGAACTCGGTCTTCCAGCAGGGCATGAAGTGAGGGCCGGTGGCTGTCTGTCCTGTCCGTGTGTCTGTGTCCGTCCCTGTCCCTCCATCTTTCCATCTTTGTCTTTCTGCTTTGCCATTGCTCTCCCTGTCCCTGGGTCTGCCTCGCATCTTGGTGTTCCTGTCACTCTCTGTGTGCGCTGCTGTCTCTGTCTCTGTGGGCCTCCGCGTGTGTCTCTGGGTGCCTGTGTCTCTGTCCCTGCGGAGCGGAGCGGGGGGCTCTCTGGGCCCAGCCCTGCCTCTCCTGTGCCTGTAGGAACAAGATCTTGATCTTCGGGCTGTTTGAGGAGACGGCCCTGGCTGCCTTCCTGTCCTACTGCCCCGGCATGGACGTGGCCCTCCGCATGTACCCTCTCAAGTGAGTGTCCTCCTGTCCCCTGCCCTGGGAAGGAAAAAGGAGACTTCCCTGTGGGACATCCTCACAGGCCCTGCCACCGCCCGTCTCAGCCTGGACCCAGCCCGCCTCTCCTGGGCTCCCTCTGGAGTCCCTGCGCTGTGTGCGCCATTGCAGTCCCTGTTCTGAGGCCACCGAGCCTCCCACACGGGTGGGCCTCACGCTGGGCTGCTCTGCAGGCCCAGACCCCAGCCAGGGCCCGGCACCCCTCGCCTGTGCGCGGAGGATGCTGGGGACGGCCCGTGTCCCCACAGGGCCCCACGCTCACGCCCTCCCCTCTCCCCCTCTGCAGGCCCAGCTGGTGGTTCTGTGCCTTCCCCTACAGTTTCCTCATCTTCGTCTACGATGAAATCCGCAAACTCATCCTGCGCAGGAACCCCGGGGGTGAGGGGGCTGGGCGGGCAGAGGGCGCAGGGCGCCCAGGCAGGCGGGCAGCGGGGAGGCGCGTGCACGGCCCCCTTCTGGCTGTCCTTCCTTGCCCTTCCCACCTCTCTCCCTGCCTCTCCCGCCTCCTCTCTGCCTCTCCCGAGTCTCTGTCCCTCCGGTTTCCCGTGACCTCCTTCCCTGGCCCCGCTCTGGCGTCTGCTGCTCTCTGGGCCTGTCTGTCCATCTCTCACTCGGCCTCTTTCCTTCCTTGTCTCTCCAGGTTGGGTGGAGAAAGAAACCTACTACTGACCTCAACCCACACATTGCCGGCTCTGCCCCAGCCCAAGCCCAGGACAGTCCCCTCCAGTGCCCCCCTTTTGTATTCTGGGGGCAGGGGCCCTCTCCCCCCACGGCTGTACCTTGGCCCCCCCTCCCCTCCCCTGCCACTCCCCCTCTGGCTGGCTTCTCCCCTGCCCCCCCTTTTCTGTCTGTCTCTCTCTCTCCCCCCCTCCCCCCCAGTCACCTCCCTGGGTTCTTTTTTACTCCCCACCACCCCCGGCTGATGCCATCTCTGGTTCTGGACAATTATCAAATATATCAGCGGGAGAGAAGCGTGCGTGTGTTGTGCTTGCTGTCTGGACGGGGCTGCGGGCGGGATGGTGTCCCCTCTGCTGTCACTCGCTGCTGCCGGCCATACGCAGCCCTGGGAGGCATGGCCTCTCTGAGTCATCGAATCTCGGAGTAATAGGCTCCACTTAGTTAGAGCAGCCTGAATCCACCAGGCGATGGGACTGTGGAGTCAGAACGGGGAGAGGAAGAGACCCCGGCACACCGGGGACCCTGTCATGTTGGGGTAGGACCCAGGAGGTGATGCCGGTGATCCTCTGAGTGCCCACTACATGCCCTGCCCCCTTCTGAGCACTCGGTGTCTATTAGCCCATTTAACCCTCACAACCTGTGGATTAAATGTGCACAGAGAGGGGAAGTGACTTGCTCAAAGTCACACAGCGAGGAGAGAAATCTAGGATTTGAACCAAGGCTGTCTGAGCTCTAGGTCACTGTGCCAGTCTCTCCCTTTCTATCGAGATGAACTTTCATACACCGAAGTGCACAAATCTTAAGGGTACAGCTCAACGATTTAAAAAATCACACCCATGTAGCCACCACCGCGATCAAGGTATAGAGCCTTTCCCTCCACCCAGAAAATTGCCTCGGGCCTCCTTCCAGTTGCCCCCACCCCCAGGGGCAGCCACCAATCTGATCTGTCACCACACGATAGTGGCGCCTGTTCTTGATATAAATCAAACCTCACACCACGTGTGTCTGTGTCGGGCTCCCTGTCCCCCACGTTGCGTCAGAGAGTCACCCACGCTGTCACAGGTGCGGGCAGCCCGCTCCTTCCACCGCTGTGCGGTGCTCTGTCATGCGGCGGTCACACAGTTCCTTTATCCGTTCTCCTGTTGAGGGACGTTTGGGCTTCCAGTTCGGGGGCTGTTACAACTGGTGCTACCAGGCATAGGAACTTTCCAGGCATGTCTTTCGATGACGCGTACACGCACTCTGCTGGGTACATTCGTGCCTAGGAGCGGAGTTGCTGGATTGGATCATGGGACTGACTGTATTTAGCTCTCATGGGAACTGCCAGACCCTTTCCACAGCGCTGTGTGCTTTTGCATGTAATAGCATATGGACGTTCCAGTTGCTCCACATCCTTGCACCCCTAGGTATGGTCAGTCCTTTTCATTTTAGCCATTCTGGCTGGGCAGCTCGACCACGTCCCGGAAGGCAGCCTGTCTCAGGCAGCCCAGAGATGCGTGTCAGAGCAGGGGCTGGGGCCGGAGCCGGGCCCGCCCGCCCCTCGGTGCGGCTGTCCGGGACGCTGACCGTGCACGTGAGTGTGGTGGGCGTGCGAGTGTGAGCACACACCGACATGCAAGACAATGGTGAAGGAGAAGCTCCCGAATCGGAGGAGGAAGCAGCCAGGAGGCAGGGGCCGTGCGCGCCAGGCACCTCTCACGTCCCCAGGGCGGAGCCGGGTCCTGGTAGGGGCTGCATGAGCCCAGGCCTCTCCGAGGGAGCCTGTGGACACTGCTTAACTCACCTGGTGCAGGCGGAGAAACACTCCATACACAGAGGGGCAGACCACGGCCAGGAGGGGAGGCCACGCAGCCAAGACTCTGAGCCAGGTCTCTGGCTATTGGTGCTAAGGTCTTCCTGCCCTCCCAGCTCCACTTCCTCGGGGGACCCAAGAGGGAGGAAGGAGGCCTCAGGTGGGTGGGACCCCACGGCCTATCTCCCACAATCTTCTGAGGTGTTCTCTGGTCTCCCACCACCCCCTGATTTGGGGCCCACCTGCCATAGGCCCCCTCTCTCTGGCCCCATCTCCCACCATCTCTCCCATTCTCTCCACAGTGCCCATGTCCAGGCCCCATCTCCTGAAATTCCCTTATTCAAAGTTCCCCCTAATCTTCCTGCTGAGAGGACCCCCCTCAATATCCTTGCTCTGGACCCCGATGTCCCCCTCCTTTGAAGCCCCATCTGGCCGTGGCCCACGCTGTTCGATATCACCAGGCCTTTTTCTGTGTCCAGCCTCTGCTCAGGACAAGAACTGGTATGTGGAATGAAATTACTTACATTCAGTTTCTACAAGGAAACCCACCAACTCTCAGGACAAAAGTCCAACCCAGGTTTTCCAAGGCCACCATGGAAGAGGCGACTGGGCCTCTACCTCCAGCTGTTCCCCAAGCTGCTCCCACTGGTCACCTCCTCCATCACTCTGAACGCAGGGGCTGCTCCCTCCTCAGCGCTCTGGGCTAGCTGCGCGTTCACAGTCCTGTGATTTTCTGGAGCAAAGTGGGACCCAGTTGGAAAACCTGAAAACCACCAAAAGCCTAGGAGGGACAAAGAGGAAATTAATAGCAACCAGCCAATCTGATTTTCAAAGTCTGACTCTTTCGTCATCAGCTTGGGACGCTCCCACAGGGACCTCCCTGCTTATTTCCACCCCCAAGCCCCTGTGGCAGGGTCCATCTTCCCCCAGCTCCTGGGAGTGCCTTCCAGCAGGCCTCAAAGCTGGAACCCTACGTGGGTGTAGATCTTGGAAGACAGGAGCTGAGGCTACAAGAGTCACCTGGGTATTCCGTGTGGATATTCTCCCTGCAGTCCCACCCAGTGTTGGAAAATTAGAACCTCAGTCCATGGAAAGGAGACCACAGGCTTCCCAATACTTCCACACACATTTCTTGAGGCCCTGTTCTTTAGAACTCTGGCCCTGTTTTCCTACAGTTCACTCAAGGGCAGGGGCAGGCCACTGAGTATTTGTTTAAAGACAGAGAGAACCATGGGTATGGGAACTGGGGAAAAGAAGGGGACATGCCTCAGACACCAGTCACTCCTGTGACATGCAAGGGGCCAGCAGCCCATAATGTGTTACTGTTAACTTTGAGAAGGCTGAACTCTAGAAATTACAATCATAACACTCCTCATAATGTAGTGGCAATAACAATGACTATCACTTATTGAGCAGTTACAAAATGTCAACACTCCTTTAAGCACTTTACATGGACCATCTAACTGAACCATCATGACCCCGAGTCTGGTCCCATTAGGATCCCACAGTCCACATGAAGACACTGAGGTTCAGGGAGGTGATTTGGTCAAAGCCGAGTAGCCTGGATTTTCTTGTGAGTCTGAATCCAGAACTTCAGCTCTTTTAGGTATAATAACTTCTTCTTCTTCTTTTTTTTTTAGACAGAATCTCACTCTGTTGCCTGGGCTAGAGTGCCATGGCTTCAGCCTAACTCACAGCAACCTCAAATTCCTCAAGCAAGCAATCCTTCTGCCTCAGCCTCCTGAGTAGCTGGGACTACAGGCATGCACCACCATGCCCGGCTAATTTTTTTTCTTCTGTATTTTTAGTTGGCCAATTAATTTCTTTCTATTTATAGGAGAGACAGGGATCTCACTCTTGCTCAGGCTGGTTTTGAACTCCTAACCTTGAGCGATCCTCCCGCCTCGGTCTCTCAGAGTGCTAGGATTACAGGTGTGAGCCACTGTGCCCCGCCAATAACTTCTTCTTTTAAAAATTCTCAACCCTCTCCTTTCTCAACTTCCCTCCTACCCAAAGGAATGTGTGAGGGGGTGTCCCGAGTCCTAACCCATTTAGCCGTGGGAGTCCCAGGGTGGAGAGGGGGCCTTTGCTCCCAACCTCAGACACCCCCCCCCTCCAGCAACCATGGCCCCCACACTAGCCTCTGCCTCTCGAGGAAGGAATCAATCCCACACATTCTCTACAATCTCCCTACTCAAAATGTGGTCCGCGGGCAGCAGCTGCAGCATCACCTGGACACTGAGAAATGCAAATGATGGGCTCCACTTGCTGAATCAGAATGTTTTATCAAGCCCTCCAGGTGTTTTTTATGCCCTCTAGAGTCAGAAGGACAGCTCTGCACGGACCCCATTGTGACCCCCACGGGAGAGTACACAACGCCCGCTTCTGCCATTACAGGCCATAACGCCCTCACTCCTGACAGCCCACCTGCCCCGAGTCCACGCGCCAGCGCCTACAACTCCCACAATGCCCAGAGACGCGCATCATCGGCGCTTCCTGGGACTACATCTCCCAAGGTGTCTTGCGAGCCAGACCACCATCATGGTGCCTATTCTCCTCAGCACAGGCAGGACTACAACTCCCACAATGCTCGGCGGCAGAACTACCGCCCCAGCAGCTCCCGGGCGGTGCCACGTCCGCTCGGCTGGGTGAGGCCGGGCTCCGGCAGGACCGGAGGGGTCTGCAGGGCCGGGGGCTTGTCACCGCAGTTCTACCCCTCACATCGCAGACATGGCGGCCCAGAAGGACCAGCAGAAGGATACCGAGGCTGAAGGGCTGAGTGCCACGTGAGCGAACCGGCTCTAACCCCCCCTGCCCCGAGGCTCGGGAGTCCCGGCCCCCTCCTCTCTCCAGTCCTAGGAGTCCCGGCTCCCAAACACAGGAATCTAGGCCCCCGGTCTCCTCTTCTGGACCCTAGAGTCGGGGCCCTCTTCCCCCTCCTCCCCTGGGATCCTGGAGTCTTGGGTCCTCTCCCCGACCCCGGAGTCCGGCCCCCGCAGCCCTCTGCGTGGGCGGGGGTCTAGGCCTCCATCCCGGTCTACCGCTGACCTGCCCCCCCCAGGACCCTGTTGCCGAAGCTGATTCCATCCGGCGCAGGCCGTGAGTGGCTGGAGCGGCGCCGCGCGACCATCCGGCCCTGGGGCATCTTCGTGGACCAGCAGCGCTTCTCGCGGCCCCGCAACGTGGGTGAGCTGTGCCAGCGCCTCGTACGCAACGTGGAGTACTACCAGAGCAACTATGTGTTCGTGTTCCTGGGCCTCATCCTGTACTGCGTGTGAGTGCCTCTCCCGCCCTGCTCTCGCCTCCACCGGCCCGGCCCCGCCCCCATGGGCTGTTTTTGCCAGACCTTGTCACCTAAGGGCCAGGTCCCTACCCCGCATCCGCCTGGCCAGGATGCAGTGCGAATGTTACCTGGCCCTTCCTGGCCTCCAGGATGTAACCTGCCATCCCCCGATGTAGAAGGCTAGGGCCCCCTGGTTGGCCCAGCCCCAGCTGCCTGACCACTGCCTCCCTGCACTTCTCCAGGGTGACGTCCCCTATGTTGCTGGTGGCTCTGGCCGTCTTCTTTGGCGCCTGTTACATTCTCTATCTTCGCACGTTGCAGTCCAGGCTTGTGCTCTTTGGTGAGAAATCCCCTGCCCGGATGGATCCCTGAGTCCTCAAATCCCGGTCTTATGGAATGCAAACCTCAGATCACACAAGTCCTGAACCCGAGTCTGCCCAAGCCTAGATGTACACTAGGTTGCCCAAACCTGATCCCTTAAAATCTCAGAACCCCCCGATGCTCCCATCCAGTCCCAGCCCCCCAAATTGCTATTCTCCAAACCAGAATGAGATACCCCAGAAGCCACCCTCCACCTGGCTGCTGTGCCTTAAACCTGCTCCTCTCCAAACCACTGTCCCCTCCCACTCCCTGCTCCGGAACCTCTCTGCAGAAAGCATCCTCTGCCGGTACCCACATTAGACACCAGGTGGCGACCTTCCTCTGGCCTAGATCTAGATCTGTCCCCGTCCCCTTTCCTGCTTCCTGGGATGGGACCAGAAAGGTCTAGGGACTTCTCAGAGAGGGAAGCCGAGGACTGTGGCTCATGCGTTTCCAGACTGATAGCAAACACCCCTGGGAAGACAGGGGAAATTCGTCTCCAGGGGAGAGTCAAGGTTTGGAGTGGGGTCAGGGAGTTGGGAATCAGACACATTCAGGTAGACTCTCTGCCATGGTTCTTCTTTGTCTGCACAAAGTTGGGCTCGGGAGAAGGGGTGTGGAGAGAGCGCCTAAGCACAGCCACTGCTTGGCATCAGCTGGCTGCTGTCACCGCAGCAGCAGATCCGAGTTTCCAGCCTTCTGTGCGAAGCCGGAAGTCTGTATTTTTTATGTGAAATCAGTTTATCAGCCTCAATCAAATTCTTGTGAAACATCTCAGAAAACACAGCCACAGGTCAGACGTGGCCCTTGGGCCACCAGTTTGAGACTCCTGGTCCATGTGAGTGCTGGCACAGGAGAACCCTCGTCTGGGGCAGTGGGAGGCCAGGAGCTTCTGGGGCAGAGGGCAGATGGCAGGGGCTGGGGAGGGTGAGGAAGGTGTGCTGCGTTCTGCGTGGCAGCAGGGACATCAGGGGCCAGGACTTGGAGGGCCTTGGCAGGAGGAGTTTGGATTCGATTGTGAGGCTCCCGGAGCTGTGGCACAGATCGTTAGGGGGCTGCAGGGGTTACTCTGGGAGAGAGCATGGAGAGCTGGAACAGCTGCCCCAATGCCATCTGTCCCCAGGCCGAGAGATGAGCCCAGCCCATCAATACGCTCTGGCCGGAGGCATCTCCTTCCCCTTCTTCTGGCTGGCTGGTGCGGGCTCGGCTGTCTTCTGGGTGCTGGGTGAGTACAGGGTCTGGGGGGTGGGGTGGGGGTGGGGCCAGGTGAGGGAGCATGGCCCTGAACTGGCCATTTGCCTGCAGGAGCCACCCTGGTGGTCATCGGCTCCCACGCTGCCTTCCACCAGATCGAGCCTGCGGATGGGGAGGAGCTGCAGATGGAGCCCGTGTGAGGCGTCCCCAAGGACCTGTTGGCCCCCTGGGCCAGCTGCCCCATCCCCTGTCCTGCTTGGCTCCCCTGCTGCTTGGGCCCAAGGTGCCTGTCCCATCACAAGCCCAGGGAGGGATTCCACCTTTGAAAATAAAGCTGTTACAGTTGTCATTCAACACGTGTTCCCCAGTTTCTTCTGTGGGACTCTGAGTAGAGTTGGGACTACTGCAGAGACCAGGATGGGTCCTGGCGCGGGAAAGACCATCAGCGAGGTAGACGAGCGAAACATCACAGGGTGTCAAGTGGAGGCAAGTGCTAAGGAGGAGAAAAGAGTTGAGAAGGGACAGTGTGTCGGGGGTCCCTGAGACCCCCAGGTTTGATGATTCTCTAGGACTTAGGACACAGTCGTACTCACAGCTGTGAGTTATGATGACGAAAGGATGCAAACACAGCAAAGTCAGCAAAAGGAAAGGCCACATGGGGCGAACTCAGGAGGAAACCAGGCCCAAGCCTCCCAGAGTGCCCACCTGGCAGTCACCCAGGATGTGCCTGATTCTTCTAGCAATGGATCGTGACAAGACGTGTGAAAGGTCAAGCAGGGAAGCTCCTTGGTCCCAGTGCCCAGGGTTTTGTTGGGGTGGCTAAGTAAGCACCTTCTGTCTAGCACAGGCCAAAATGCCAGACTCCCAGAGGAAAACAAGTGCTTGGCATAAAGGATATTGTTGGTACAACAGTCTAGACACAGTGAGCTGCTCTTATCAGGGAATGATAAGACACCCCCCACCACTAGATCCAAATTCCTAGCCCCAGCCAAGGGCCAGCTGTGTGCACAGGCCTGCCTAAGGACAGCAGTCTGGAGCCTGCTATGTTAACTCTTTCCTGCACAGAGAAATGTCTTTCTATTTTTTTTTTTCTATTTTTTTTAGTAGAGACGGGGGTCTCACTCTTGCTCAGGCTGGTCTCGAACTTCTGAGCTCAAACAATCCGCCCGCCTAGGCCTCCCAGAGTGCTAGGATTACAGGCGTCAACCACCACGCCCGGCCATGCACACAGAAATTTCTGGAGTGAATTGCAGGTGAAAGAGGCTGGCCAGGGCGGGTCGTGGTGGCTCACGTCTGTAATCCTGGCACTTTGGGAGGCCGAGGCGAGCAGATTGCTCGAGGTCAGGAGTTTGAAAACAGCCTGAGCAAGAGGGAGACCCCGTCTCTACTATAAACAGAAAGAAATTAATTGGCTAACTAATGTATAGAGAAAAAATTAGCCGGGCATGGTGGCGCATGCCTATAGTCCCAGCCACTCGGGAGGCTGAGGCAGGAGGATTGCTTGAGCCCAGGAGTTTGAGGTTGCTGTGAGCTAGGCTGACGCCATGGCACTCACTCTAGCCTGGGCAACAAAGCAAGTCTCAAAAAAGGAAAAAAAAGAGGCTGGCCAGAGAAGTCTTCCCTGAGGTGATACTGAGCAAAGGCCTAAACTGAGAAAGGGAACAGCCTCAGATCCTTTGAGGAGAATGTTCTGGACAGAGGAAGCCGTGGTGCAAAGGCCCAAAGAGGCAGCAGGCCGGAAGCTTGAGGTCAGCGAGGAGGCCCGTGTGGCCGGAGCAGATGAACGAGGGGATGGCATGGGGGACAAGGGGCCTAGTGGGCCATGGTGGGGGCTTTGAAAGAGCCTCTATATCATTACGTGAACATATGGAAACGCTGACAAAAGAGAAACAAACTTGGAAAGCGCTAGGCAGATAAAGACGGCGAAGTGAGGTGGCTGAAGGGCCTGAGGAGCTACTTTAGCTGGGGCTGGTCGGGGTGGGGGGAGCTCTCTGAGCAGCTGGCATTTCTGTGAGCCTTGCAGAAGAGCCACGGGTGAAGTCCCCTAAGCAGAGGGACAGCAAGTGGCAAAGCCTGGAGATGTGCCCCACCACTGCCTCTCCAACCTCCTGTCTCATCACCGAGAACCACCCCTCCTCTGCGATTCAGCAAGTGTTTTTCCACAGCCCACTGAGTACCCAGCGTTCTGGAATTCTGCAGTCAGGTGTGGCCGCCATCAGCCACATGTGGCTCCTGAGCATGTGAAACGTGGGTGGTCCTAGCTGAGACGTGCCGTGAGTGTGAAATCCACACCAGAGTTTGACCACTTAATATGAAAAGAGGGTAAAATATCTCAATAATTCTATATTAATATATTGAGCCAGGTGTGCTATCACACACCTGTAGTCCCAGCTACTTGGGAGGCTGGGGTGGGAGGGTCGCTTGAGGCCAGGAGTTCAAGGCTGCAGTGAGCTGTGATCGCACCTGTGAACAGCCACTGTGCTCCCGCTGGGGCAACACAGCAAGACCCGGTCTCCAAAAAAAAAAAACATTTTTTTTAATGTTTTATATTGATTATGTCTGTTGGAAGGATAATTTGGGGACATATTGGGTTAAACTATTATTAATTTCGCTTTTTTCTTAATTTTAAAAATGT